GATATTAGTCGGGTGGAGGAGTTTCAGCTCATAACAAGCGAAGCAGGAAATTGCCATCCAGCACATTTTCCCATACTGGCAAATCCGTATAATATATTCTATTTTATATTTAATGCCATTCATCCTATATTCAATATTATGATCTGAAACTTCGCCCTCTTACTGATATAAAGCTGCTCTTTTCAATCATAAAGTTCGTTTTCACACAACTGCTCGTTTTAAGGGAGGTAGGATCACGTGACATATAAGTGCAAGTTGGTCTATTCTTGGTTTCCACCTACGTCATCAAAATTTTTGCAACGATTTTTATTAAAAAAACTTCCACAGGCCACAAAAGTGGCCAAAATTCTAGCTAAAAGAAGTTGATAGGACTCTTCTTATGATAAACAAAATATTCGACTATATTCGTTTTGTGCGGTGAATACTTTGGATTTTAGTTTTTTGATTATATCACGTAAAAACCAAGAATGCCTTAGGTCGATAAAAAAATATATTACTATGATATGATTTTGATTTGTTTTCGCTAAAGAAGCAAGTATGTGACAAGTCTTTKTCGGATTAGTAATATAATATAAACGATAAAGATCTTAAATAAAACAATGATACCTTGAATATTACTGAAAAGARAAAACTTTGAGCGGCACCTCTAGGAGCAATAATTTTAATAACCGCCAACGATTGACAGGGATTCGAGCTAGTTGTGCGTTGCTTAGGGCACTTCCTGGTTTCGTAAGATCAATTTAACACCAAAACTTTATTATTTTAAACAATATTTGGTCATTTTCTACTGTCGAAACTCATCGTGTAAAATTTAATTAAGCCCAAGTTTTGACTTCAGCTAGTTTAGTTAGGACTCGAACATTGTATTTTATACTGGCCTTCAGTTCATCTTCACGAAGTTTGCCTGAAACTAATGGGAAGACGTGCCCGGCCAATRATCAGTGTTGTTTTGGGGTTTTCATTGACTTGTTACACTTTTATCTCTTGGGGGAACTGATTTCGCTTATTATTAGAAAACTGAAAGAACGAAAGAAAGAATTCTACATATTTATAAACAGTAATAATAAAAAGGTAAATTATATACCGTGAAAAGATTAAAAAACTTACTGGCGTTTCGGACGCTAGTCCTTCGTCGGAGTAAAAGAAGGACTAGCGTCCGAAACGTCAGTTAAGTTTTTTCATCTTTTCACGGTGTATAATTTACCTTTTTATCATTACTGTTTCATTAGAAACACCGACGCAGCTCACACTAGTTTTTAGCTAGTTATATCTTCATATTTATAAACAGTCCTGAGTATCGTAGTTCATATCAATGACAACAATTTCAAAATAACTTCTGCACCGTTGTACAGTAAATACTGCATATTGAATAACTSATTATCGGAATACAAGTCCAGAAGAATATATTTTCTGTATTTTTTATATACATCCTAAATTAATAACAAATTGCAATAACTATGAACCAGCGCAGAGAAAACTTCACGACCATAATATCTAAAATCCAATTAAACATTAAAAATGGAATTTTCGACTTATCACCCTGCTACAGGTAGCCCGGTAAGTTTATTAACAAACGACAAAACTTAACGATAAAAGAACCGTCTGAATGTTAAATAAGAAGCTTAATCTTTTCTAATATTTATTAACGTGAATTTGGCTTCCAAGAGGCTGTCGCTATAATTTCTCTAACTGACTAAAGCTGTTATAAGGTTCTACATATTTCTCTTCAACTGCATGAATAAGTCTTAGCATTAAATATGAATAAAAGTTTTTCAATATCGGGGTCTTGTCGATCGGTTATCAAAACTTGCAGTCTTGTTGTTCCGTTCGTTTAATATGCGGGATTTGTTAGCTTTGTGTTTTTTTTCAAGGTCGACGGAAGAGGGCGGGTTTATCATTCATTTTACCAATGAAGTGACTTGGTTTTATCACRTCCTATGTTATCATTAAACCTCTTGCAGTTTTTACAATTATTAGTTTAGCAGGAATAATGATATTGCCTGGGGCGATCATCAAGCTCTTTGATTTTCAACTGCCAATACTTCTTTCAAAGTTCAATCCAATTATTAAGAAAAATACTGAGAAACAAATTACAATCGAATTAAAAGTTATTTATCTGATTTTTTTTTTCGTGTTTGTTGAAAAGTGAATGAGAATCTGTTGAAGTAACAATGATAACCTTGATGAACTTTCATCGGATTTCTCATATATATGATATGATGAGAAACAAATTACAATCGAATTAAAAGTTATTTATCTGATTTTTTTTTTCGTGTTTGTTAAAAAGTGAATGAGAATCCGTTGAAGTAACAATGATAACCTTGATGAACTTTCATCGGATTTCTCATATATATGATATGATGATAAAATGAAATRTAGAGACTGCAGACAGTTTATTATATAAATGAAAAAAGAAGGATTGATTAGCAA